TCTATGCAACGGTTCGTGTTATGTCACACGTACGTTGCAAAGATTTTATAATAGACGGAGACGTTCTATTAACAATGTAACGGTGTCTTTACAAATACTATTTTATTTATTGATAGTACTAACAGCGATCTGGTCCNCGATCTGGTAGCCAATTTTACATGCGCTGGCAGGACCCAAAAATAAGGAGACATGTACCTTTGTATTTTTATTTTTTTTTGACGTTCATAAGTGCCCATTTTGGTCAAAATGGAATAAAATATTTTTAATTTCATTGATTTTGATTTTACAGCTACATGTACAGTAACTTGATACTCTTATAATGTAGGAATTATGGATGTAAATTATTTCAGACATTGATTAAATAAAGTACCTTACCAAAGTAATTCACAGAAAAATAATTTCATCCTACGTGGAATGCAGCTGAATAAAGAACAGTCAATATTAAATTTCAGTTTTTATCATGAATTCCGAGAACTGTACAATTCTTTCAGTTTACTTATAACACAATTAAAACGTGTCACACTGTATTCATGTTATTATTGGCTTATCGAATTCAAATTCAAATTCAAGTCAATGGAAACAATGATATTAATTAAACGTACATTAACATAGAACTCGCGTGCCTAACCCCCGCGGGAGGAAATGAGAGTCTGTATCTTAGGATTCACACACGAAAGAACGTTCGTCCAGATTGCTGCGAAATGTGCCGTGAGTAACGCAGCTAATGTCTTATGAAAGGGGCGCTATTGCTTTATCTTAATCGGCGAATTCGCGTGTCGCGGCCTACGACCCACCAAATTGATGATTGGTGGGGTTGCCGTTACTCTTGTAAACACTATGAATATGATAACGGTTATAGATATCGTTTGAAGGGGCGTTCTGCACTGTACACGTATATTTTTGTAACAGAAAGGCACCTTTACAACGGTGACTTTGCTTGAGACGCCGATATGTCTATAATAAAAACGTTTTAAGTATCTAAAATTATGTAATTTTTGAATAGGATTGATGTGAAAAAATAAACACTTTTTCTGGCGCAGTCGGCAAAATACATCAGCAAGCACCAACTTCGAAAATGTTTAATGTGGCACTACTTAAATTGGATTTAAATAAGTGTTCCGACTATCTTTACATTCCTTTGGGTAAAATAACGAAAAGGCCCTACACGCAAAGTCAAAGTCAAAGTCAAAATTTCTTTATTTGTTTGGACTAATAAATAGTTNGCGAACAATTGGGAAATAAATTTTCTTGTTACTGGTATCATTCCCGTATTTAATTTTTGAAAGCCAAATTCAAGCAAAATATGCGTCGAATTGTAGTACTTACTTATGAAATGTAACACTGGTCACTTTCTTTCGTTTTTCTGATGTATTTTAGACACCCTTTCACAGCACAAACCGTTTTAATTAATTAAAATTCGTCGGACGTGTTTACCATTTTTTCACTTTGACAGTTCATGTGACGTTTACGAGTAAGCCGTGTCGGCTCCCTAAAAACTGCCTCACCTTTCGTGCACTGACTATCTATCTAGGCTTTATTAATCTAAGGTTTTAAGTATCTAAAATTATGTAATTTTTGAATAGGAGTGGTTATTATGTGAAAATTTGTGTTCTTTTGAATGATAAACACTTCTTCTGACGCAGTCTGGTAAAAAGTTATGTTTTTTAAATACATCAGCAAGCACCAACTTCGAAAATGTTTAATGTGGCACTACCTAAATTGGACTTAAATAAGTGTTCCGACTATATTTACATTCCTTTGGGTAAAATAACGAGAAGGCCCTACACGCGCTTTAATTTCGTCCTCATCACTTACCTAACACCAAACAAAATTTGATTAAACCGGCCAGTTTACGTGGGTAGTAATCGCGCATCCACACATCAATTACAAATAATCTTCGTCCATCGAGGGCCGGCGACACCATGCATCAATCAGGCTGTCGCGACGCGCGCGCAATCAAATAAAATTTAACTTGCCTGTCAGCTCGCATAAGCTGTTTATTGTGCTGCCTTTGCCACTTTTAGTGTTATTGTTGGTCGATGAAGTACGGTTGAAAAATGTATGCTGTAGTTTTCAGTCAGAGGATATACTAGTACGAGTAATGGACATTATTTAACTTTTTCAATATCTCTTTGAAATAACATATAAATACACGTGTTGAACTCACAACGTCTGAGCACGTTAGTTATTTAAGTAAATGGTGGTGGAGTTACATAGAAGTTGCCGATTATACAAAAAAAATAGAAAGACACGGGTCACACGGGTCTTAACGCGACATTTATTAATTTGTTACATTATGTATCACGGCTTGACGTTTTGGCTGCTATGCTGCAGCTGTGGTCACAAGCAGACTGGCGGCTTCAACTGGGTAGTTGAAGCCCTCATGTCATTTGTTACGACTCTAGTGATAAATAATGTAACACAAAATTAACGATAACTTCTAAACTACAAAAATTCGTAGAACATACATAGGGGTGAAATCGATAGGTGCCTTCGGCTTGACACTTTACACGAAACACCCTATATAAAAAATGTTATGTCGTTCATAGGGTTATTTACCTAATCAAAATTGAAACTTTAAATTTGCTCATAGGCGACAAATCATACATAAATTTGGGGGTCGTAGGTAGAAACTTTTGCCACAATGAAGGTAGTTACCGGTGATCATGATTAGAAGGATGTCTGCGACCGCGCCCGCGGCGTTTCGACCGTGCTAACTTCCAGATACAACTTATTAATTTTGGGGTTGCTGTAGAGTTCCGTTAACGAGACATAATATAGAATTTTAGAATATAAGGGGTTGCCTTTATGCATATCTGTTTAGACAAGAAATTATATCTATATCTATACTAATACACTCGGCATCAAATAAATCGCACCTAGTTTTAAACTTTATTTCATTAAAGGAAAGGTTTATTACCCGAAAAATGTGTCTTTACAAGGATCCAGAGTCACTTCTTCAAAAAATAGGTAGTTACGCTATAGCCATTTTTATGACTACCATTTTTATGGGTACCATGATTGTATCAGAAGAAAATCTTTAAAGTTCGCGTCGCGGAAGGTGCGGTTTATTTGATGTTGAGTGTATTATAAAGAGGAAAGATTTGTACCTATTTTTGTATGTTTGTAATGAATAGGCTCAAAAACCACTGAACGGATTTTGATGAAACTTTACAGTATTATTGTTCATAATCCAGAATAACATATAAGCTATAATTTATGACGATCTGTGACAAACGAAATTACACGCGTGCGAAGCCGCGGGCGGAAAGCTAGTGTATTAATAAAATAATCATTCAAATATCATAGTAAATTAAGTAATGATACCGCACGTGTCTACTAACCCGCGATTAGGCACCTATACCTAAATGCATGCGAAAAACACGATCCATCAAAGCACATAATGGAAAACGAACAAACCACAATCACATTTCACGCTTATTAACACGCGGCCTGTGATCGACAGACTTGATGTGTCCCGCGCACTGTTGCGGCCCGACTCTGCAAAACGAATTCGAGACAAACGCATCTATTTATCCCCCTTACTCTTTTAAGAAAACTGGTATGAGTGAGAGAGACCATAGCAGAGATCAGATAGAAACAGTGTTGCGAAGTAAGACCGTTTCGTTTAAACGCCTGTTATCTGACGCGCTGCTGCCCGGGCCGTGCAATACGGGCAGGCAGAGAAGTGCTAATAAATGATTGTTAATTACCTACTTCACTTAACACCGTAGCGACTCGGATGTGTAAAGGTAATTAAGGAAAAATAACTAGTCACACTGCACAAAACCGAAGTACGTAAATGGCGAAATTTCCTATCGGAGAGTCGCTGAGCTATCGGAGTACTAACTAACTTGTCATAATATAGAAATTCATCAAAAGAAACCAAAATTTTGGGTAAATCTTATAACCGTTGTCGAACTTGAAACTTGAGGACCAATTAATTAATGACTTCAAAATGTATTTACGTTGGGTCACGTAAATCATAAATAAAATTAAATAAAAAAATATTTTTCAAAAACAAGCTTTTAATGCTCTAAAAAGAATAAAATAAAACAAACCCATCAACTTATTACTTTACTCAATTTATATGATTAAAAGCTTGTCGCGAGATTTACTAGATGTATGTATTTAACTATTTGATTTTTTTCTAAGATCAAAGTTTTAGCAAGATCAAGTTACGTATTTAATGAATTTTTTATACAAGTAAATCTCGCGACAAGCTTTTAATCATATAAATTGAGTAAAGTAATAAGTTGATGGGTTTGTTTTATTTTATTCTTTTTAGAGCATTAAAAGCTTGTTTTTGAAAAATATTTTTTTATTTAATTTTATTTTAAAAAGAAAACCTACTTTAAACCGTGTCTGCGTAGCTTAGTGGCTAGAAAAGACGCCCAGTATGCGAAAGGTTTTCATCCAAGTTTCTTCAAATATTTTACAATCTGTATTTACCGTTTGTGGAATTGAGCCCAATATTGGCGGTTAACTAGTTTTCGTAGTAAAATAAAAATGCCCTCTCTAAAACACTCACAGCACTGGACAAACCCTGAATTTGATTGGATTTAAACCCACCTGACGTGGATGATGTCACACATAGCACTGCAATGACGACTTGAATAGCGCCGGTGATGCAAGTATGGCTTGATCGGGCATTAATTACCTGCGCGTCAACTACAAAGTGATTTGAAAGCGCGTTCAACACTTACTGAGGGTTAGTCGAAACCGGAGAGCATGTCAAAGCATGAGCTGCGGTTTTAATAGCTAATGAAGGGTGGTGCGAGCTTAATAAAGAGTAAGTATCAAAAACCGTAACTGAAATAAAAAAAGTTTTTTTTTGGTAATTTGGTAAATTATTATGAAAATCACAGAATATAAATTAAAGTTCTCGACGAAGTTCAATTTGTTTTTGCGCAGTAACAATTTGCTTGTATTTGAAAAAAAAAAAAAAAACAATAATATGAATTTTACAACATGTAAATAATATTACACACAACATAATATCAAACTTGAATCACACTCGAATTTATAGCTTTCTCACATAAAAACATTCCAGGTAAGGCACATTCAGTCATTTCCAAGAAACCTGTCCTGGAGATGGCGCCACAGTGTTTTGATTCGAATTCGACGTCTTCCTCCTTGAAGGGACTCCATGAAGAGTATCCAGCCTCTTCTAATGTCTGACCTGAAAGTAAAATATTGGTACGTCAAGACTATGATGTATTTTAGAAAAAAAATTGAATGAAGATCTGCAAAAAATATTTTTTTATTAGATTTTTATTTAACTGTCATTGATTAACACTGGCCTGTAATAAATAGCCTCTTTAAAAAAAAGAAAAAAAAATGCACAATACTTATCATGTTATTAAATGGATTTTGCACATTACCATCAATGGTCCTGTATTGATAAGGAAATAACAAATCGCTGAAGCCTATCAGCAGTATGTTCGGATCAGGTGCATCGATATGGATGTGGTCTCCCATGAACTTGGTGATGAGTGCAGCTTCTTCGGCTGAGTTAATTACAGCCAAATCTCCTTCCTCAGATTTGCAAACTAGGTAAGCGTCGTGCCAAGATAACGGTTCCACGTGGAATTTGTAGCATTTCCCATTGTCATGGGGGGTGTAACCTGTGATTTAAATGTAAGACATTTTATTACAAACGATTACGAAGAATCAATGGTCATAATTAAGGAACCAAGAGGCTAGGAAATACTTTATGAAGGCAAAAAAGTGTCATTTACCAATATCAAAATTATTGCACCCTTCGTTAACTTTGGTTGCTTCCCCCAATATTTTGCAAACGAAAGGGTGTATGTCATCACAAGACTTGTCATCGAATAATCCTTCCCGCGTCATAATCACGCAATGCTCTGATCCATTCGCTCTATCCGGACGACCTTCGGCCCAAAGATACTGTAGTATTGTTCCTTGGATTGGCTCTCCTATAAAACGTGTGAATTTTTTTAAAATGGTCCAATACCAAAATGCTTACTATATCGAAATCCTTCGTCAGTTCAAGAAAAGTTACTTAAGTTGAAAGAGATAAAAGGATATAAAGTCATTTTGGTATTGGAGATAGAGACTAATCTTGGAATGTCAGAACCAATTTTAAACTTGTAAGATAAAAATGCACCTTTAAGATTAACAAAATTCCCGTTCGAGAACTGGTCATGCAATCCGATAAATATACCGATGTAGTGAGCTTTCATGTTACTGATGAGCAATTTGAGATTTTCCATTTCTTCCAAACTATCTGGCACGAGCAGCGAAGTGCCTTCGGCTTCACAGATCTGCCGCGCCTGGAACCAATTCCTGGACAGATCGTGAAGGCGATAAAATGTCTTGAAATGCTGAGCCCACATGTAGTCCGGACGATATTTCTGTGCTACGAAAATGATAATGACTATCTTCAAAGAAAATTAAATAAGTGTTTAATGTAATGAATCTTGTACTTTCTTAGTTCTTAACCTAATTATTTAAAGCGATATGGTAACTGAAAAATCGTATCTACTATTTACCTTCTGAGCACATTAATGTCAATAAAATTACCACTAAAATCACCATTATGCAAATGCAGAACAATTTTACAATCAAATATAAAAGGCCACAATTTACGATTTCCATCAGTGTGAACGCTTCATTCTGTACTGCGCAATCAATCAATCGGTAATTAGTGATACAATTTCCTACGGAATTTCTTGACACAAAAGCGACTAAGTAATTGCTACCAAGAACATCGGTTTCAATGAAGTTCGGATTCAGATTCAATCACAAACACTTCGGTGAGCGAGTCCCAAATTCAATTGGCTGGTATCCGGTTCAAGCCGATCGTTTGCTCAGATACCACGGTATCGGTTATTTTTACGTTGGGCCGATCGCCTCGACGGTCGCTCGACTCACTTGGTCCTTCGTACGCTTATTTGAATCTCCTTCGAAGTGACTTCCTTTTCTGTGAGTGTCAGGTAATTATCTGTGTGGCATTCCAATTTTCCGATCGAACGGTTAATTCAGTTTAAATCTCTTCGTGTAATACGTACTTGGCTATAGCACTGCCTAATCCTAGCCCCTTCAACCAGTTCTCGAGGCGGGTGGGCGCGGAAAATATGGAATGGGATTCTTTAAACACGCTTTCATGCCATTTAACTTTTAGATGCATTTGCGGTTTATGAGCTAAGCAGTTAATTAAAAACCTCGTGTTGTGCAGTTTTAGTTTATTTGAGAAAGTACGCGGTGAAATTGTGTGCGTTGAAATTTTATATTCTGTGATGATGAAAATGAGCATTATAAAAAGTTTGGAATAATATAAGATCAGTTGTCAATATTGAAGAAAACGTTTTTGCTGATGCGGAGCTGGGCGGAGTTAAGTGGCGATAAAATGAACACATGAGAAGAAAACAGCTCTTTAGTAAAAATTAAATTATTTTAAAAAATATCGCTTCAAGCGATGTAAGTACTTAGGCCTTTTTCTAAGAATGAAAATGCTGACACATACCTGTTCCGCTTTTTTATTAAAGAAGCGTGCATTTTTTCTTTAATAAAAACCTCAAGCGCTTTTTAATTAAAGAAAAAATGCACGAGAGAATCTGTCATCGGAAGTGCCGAGTGTGTGAACCGGACTCAAGAAATTAGTAGACCCTTAGATCAATATAAATTGTAGACAATAAAGTACCCAACTGTTAACCAACAACTCAATTTAATCGAAATTCTTAAACCCAACCATCATTACGGAATAGCTCCGAAATCCCAATTCCATCTCCATTGAATCGGATCGTGGTTTCAGTAAATAAAGTTCGGTGCCAACTCATCAGCCGCATGGGCCTGGATCTGATAAAAGTTGTCTGGAACTTTCTTTTGCGATATCGCCACCTTCGTCATGTAAATTGGACAAGTTGCGGCCGCCGATGTTTGTTTCATTGGCAAATATAGATTAGCTCTTAATCTGACCACTTTTCGTACAAAATTGTTTCCAGACGAGCGGAGGCGGGTTGCGGAGGCCGGGTCGGGTCAAGCCTTAATACAAACTCCGAGTAGCTTGTATATTGATACTTGCGGTTAACGTAATTAATTGGATGTTTGTTCTGCAACCTACGAATGTGATTGAGGTTAATTTATTAATAATTTTCACTTGTTCTCATTTAAAATTTTGGAAACTTTCCGAGAATAAAGGCCTTGCACGTTCCGTTCCGATATATTAATTTGTTATGCGTAATTGGTGTGGGTTGGGGATTTTTTATAAGCGTTACTGTTTACTTATAAGACACGATTTAGGTAGAGTTTACAATGGTTATCACAGGTCCAAATCAACATCTAGGTAATATCCTGAAGATGAAATATCAATCAATGAAACAAACAACATTTATCTACCTTTACCTTTTGAAAAACATTGTTATTATAAGTATTTGCAATCAAAAGTTTTTGACTTCCGGTTACAAATTAAGCAAGCTTCACAAAAGCTTTTAAAATATCTAATCGAGAGAGAATAGACAGCCGATTAAATTCAACTTCATTTCCGTTCGAAGTGAAAAGTTTGAAATTCCCATGTCCAAACGGCGCATTGTCTTTAAAGGATTCAAAGTTTTTTATTGAGTCGACGTCGATCTAAAAAGTAAACGGATACTTTTATCCTCGAACCGGGTTAACCCGTAAACCATCTCAGTTTAAGGAGGCATTAAATCGCAACTCAAACAAGAATCGTTACAGTGAAGTTAACTCACATATTGCTTTGTGTCACGAACGTTGAAGCGAGCGTGCACACTTTAGATTTTGTGATGCACGATTAGTCGTAGTGGTTAAAGTGCTAGATTAAAATAATGTAAAAGTATATTTAGAAGAAAATTATGTAAAACAACAGGAAAAATACTTAATTAAAATTACCTAAATTAAGGACCAGTTCATCTTTACGAATAAATGTCGTTAAACGGAATCACTTCTTAGCGATTAGTCCGCCTGAATTAAATAAAATTCAGTATAAATTACACCGTTCTAACTTTTTGCGGTTATTGTACTTAATTAAAAAATAAATGAAAGAAAAGTTTTTCTTTAGTATACCTACTTACATTTTGACACCTTAGCTTAGGCGCAGACCACCGAGTTTTTTCAGCCGATAGTTTAGTCGGGCAGTTGATCAGTATTGGCATGTATAGAAGTGCGCACATTACACTGATTTGATTTTCATACAAATTAAAATCGTGTCCAACTATCGGCCGGTTAAAAATCGATGGTCTGCGCCTAAGCTAAACTTTTAGTTTATACCTATTATTTTACTCAATACTCAATATGTTTATTGCTTCCTTAAGTACATTTAGGTGTTACATATATTTGGAGATCATTAAGGACCATGTTGGGCGCTGCAAACTTAAAATCTAAGGAGAGGAGGCTTCTTTTTAGNTACCTATTATTTTTTCAGAAATTCTGACATCAAATCCGCCAGTGTGCGGCCAAGCTAAAACGAACAGAGTCGACCAAGAGATGCGGGGTTGGAGAGAGACGCCGAATGGGAGCGGGCGAGGAGGGCGCAAAAGGAGAAAAACTACAACGCTAAAAGTGAATGCGGTCGAAAGCCCCGCTTATTTCTGCGCTAAGTGCATGGATTTTTTTCAAGTGATGCTATGAGTGTGTTGTCGTGAGCTATGGATACTGCACCACAAAGGGACGGTGGGCTTGCTCCCTTATGTCTGCACTTTTACGCGTTTAGTACATAGAGAATTTAATTAAAAGACAGGTACTTATGACTGTTGTAAGTGAATGTGGTGTAAAAGCTGTAACTGTAATAGAGAAGTAACGTGAATAAATAAGTGACCAGATTGGTATGGTCTATTTACATTGTTAAATGTGTGCCAACTGATTTTTTATTAGTTATTGCTAATGCTGTTTGATATTTTTAAAATAGTACCTACTCAGGGAACCAGATTAACTACTAAAAATAAACTATAACATAACTGAGACCTATTTTAAAGAATCTCCCATTTGTAATCCTAATAATACGCGTGAGATAGAAATTATAATAATATTATGTTTAGATAATATTTAGTTATCAGACAGTCTTATTTTGTATTGAGTTGATATTCAGAACTATCGGCCCACGACTTAGTACACGTGGACCCCGTTTTACCCCATTAGGGTGGAGTTTCGTAAAATCCGTTCTTAGTGGATGTCTACACCCTTTAAGGAACCTAAATACCTGCCAAATTTCAAGAACTCTTATCTGGAACTAAATAATATGATCACTAATCTGGAACCTCACACGTACCACAAAAATGTATAAATTCAAGAACCTATTTATATTTTTCGTAATTAATTGACACGATAGAAGCAAGACAAAATAACTTTTTATACGTTTCATAGCAGATAAATTTATTAGAACCTTTTAATAAATATTGCATGCGCATTTTGCGAACGCTTCAGATAATTAGTTAAATGCATCGCCAGTGACGCTGGATAATTAAGCTTTTAAAGTTATGGAAAACTAATTGATAACGCATTAAGGTACGCGGTTTGTGGTACGCTGTACTAAGTGCCCGCCAAATTACGCACTATGATAGTTAGTCATTTTAGTAAATAAATATACCTAATTACCTACATTATGTACTTCAGGTTATTGCGTTGCTGACACAATGAGCTAATATTTCTTTAAAATGTCTAAATACGCTTCACAAGTGTTAAAGGTTAGTTGATTAGGTATCCAATTCTTTAATCAAGATAAGAAGTCAGACAACAAACAATTAGGTAATAATAATAATAATAAGCTACAAAGTGGATTTAGAACTAAGACACCGCTAAGGAAAAAATATTCCAAAATAATTTTCAATTCGTATAATATTCTACTAGTAATTAGAATAAATAATCCCTGAATAATAATTACAATTTCTATTCACAATAGAGAACACAGCGTATTTTCGATAATAGCACCACCATTTTTAGTCTAGACCGAGATAATGGCGTTTCACAAAACATTTCTCGTCAAAATGTTTCAGCAAATAAAAATCCGCGATTGTTTCGTATTGGGCCACTTTATCGCTCGTAACAATACAATTGAAGGTAAATAAATGTAACGTGTTTTTGACATTCATAAGGCGAACGCGTAGGGTACGCACCTGGGCCCAACACAATGGGCCCGCACAATACGCGCGCGAACTAAACTGAAAAACTTTATTTAAGAACACAATAAACCACTTTTTAGTAGAAAGGTCTGAATTGTGTTATGCACGGATCGTGTAGAGAAAAACATCGAGCATTTTTTTATCGCAGCTTCATGCGGCTCAATAGGCAGTGTATGGGCGGCACCAGACAACCTTCGCGTAAATAGCTACTGTAAAGGTAAATCGGGTTTCGTTAAAGGTAGAGATTATACTTTTTAGCGACTTTTAGGTATAAAGAATATCATAATAAGTTATCTTACATCTCTAAATTTTTTTTTATACCTGTGAAGTTTGAGTTGGACTCGCGTATTTAGGCACACTTTCCTCCCACACTTTCCTTCCACTCTTTCTGAACTGTCTCCATTGGCCATTGTTCTATTATAAATGATTTCAAAACAAAAAGATAGACACCCAATGATTAAATCATAAGTTGTTCGCAAACGAGCATTCTTATCTGCTAACCATTTATGGCGAGGAAATAAAAATATTCGTTCGTCTAATGTGCACAAGTTTCACGAGCATGTATATGCTGGCTCATTTAGGAAGTAAATAGACTGCAGCGGGTTTGTTTTGTCGCTAATCACTGTGTGTAGTGGCACTAACTCGTGGTGGAACTAGTGGCAACTTCAAGCTTACGTGTTCGGATGAGAATTTGAAAATGTCTAAGCTAATTAGCTGGGGTAATGATGATACGGAGTCTCAAGAATTAGAGGTACATTCATCAGTATGCCTCCTAAGAGGCCTGCTGACCAAGAGGTTGTAGACTTAAACTTTCTCGGAGGTCTCGAATAAGATACCCACAATAACCACTGTGCCATAAATTATTCCTAATTACTTTAGAAAATTGTAGTTAAATAATTAGAGTTATTTGATATAAACGGTAAAAATGAGTAAGCGTACAAGTGAAGAGTGTCTCATACGTCAGACTGATAAGGCTGTTACAGCCTTAAGCTTCAAAAACGGGCTCAAAGACAAAAGCACTAGACTACAAGCGCTACAAGAGTAATAAGTGCCAATGCTCAAATGTCGCAAACACCTAAGTGTGGAGACAAATCCGATTACGTGCGCGTATCGCAGACAAAGGGTCGTGACGTCTTACAGCCGAGTTCGTCCACTTCATTAAGACATGAATTATGAATAGAGATGGCATTAGCATCCATCTGGAGTACGGCAACTATGGAACACCATTGTTATGCAGATTGCGACCGGACGTCCGACGCCGCGAGTATTCCCAAGTGTGGCGTGCTTGTAAACAAATGGGTACTTATACGCCGATGACGTAGAGGGGATAAGTCGAGATTCTGGTAATATAATAGTTTGTTGTGAATTGTCGATTGCTAAGTAAAGTAACATTACGTTTCTTCGTCATTACGCCATGGGGTGAGGTCGAATGTTATAAGTTGTATATTATTACGTATATAATAAGTACCTACTAACAGTTTGATGTTGCGCCCGCGTTGCTACAGCCGTAGTCATAATCATAGATCACTAAAGTTGAGTTGCACCACCTAGCTTTGACCGTAACTATAACGATAACCGGTACTTTTTGTATGGAGTTTGACAGATTTTTTACATTTGTTAAAGTTAAAGTAAGATAGTTCAACCCAGCAAGCTAGTCAAGCAGTTTGTTGCTGTTGGCTCGCAGCGTCGTATATTCGATCGGACGGGCTTGAAGATCTTCGGCTACCCTCAAATTGTCACTTATTGTCTTGCTAGTGATGTTACCACAGAATACACACACACAAAACTCTCAGTGGCGTTGTTCTTAAAATCGTATATTTAGTTACTATAAAAAGAATTTTATGAATTGACTTTTATAATAAGAAGCTCTCTATGTTTTTAAAAGAAAAATTGGAAACATCTTTACCTATCTACATAATTTGTAAGTTACAAAGACTACTTCTCCGAATTAATCTTTTAGGAGCAGAATATCTTAAACTCCTAAAAAACTTTCCTTATGAAATCCTAATCTACTTGGTACTCGAGTAAAGCTGTTGAAAGATTACCTGAAATTGATCTTGAATATCTAAAAATAGTCGTTGAAAAGATTTATCATTGAGAATAAAAAATAATCAGGTGTAATATTAAAAATATAGAGTACCAACGATGGTTTATTATAAACTGAAAACAGTGGCCACGTATTTAGTTGTTTGGCTCTATAACAGTGATAGTAGATAGTAGGCTCTATAACCACAATTAGATAATTTTTTTTTTGCTATTAAAGTTTGTTAAATGCAAGGCTAGAGTGAATAAGCACTTACAGAGCAGCAGAGAGCATCTGAGACAGTATCCCACTTAACATTGATTGCGGTCTGGTAAAAAAAATTGTCACGTAAAATTTTATACCAAATTTTCTTTTTCATATTTAGGCTTGAAAATGTAATAAATTAAATAGAGTTTGCTTTTAGATTTATGCCTACTTATTATTATTACTAATCGATAAATCATTCGCCATCCGTAAATAGCGAAGATATTTATCAACAAACTTAATTGATGTGCATAATGTAAATTAACTCGCATCTTCATATATCGCTCATAGATAGTTCATGTAGTTAAGATGCAAACCGTGATATCGTAAGTGTGTCCCACAGGACTTGAGGGCACATCCACATGCCTATTGGGTTAGTACTCCACTCCGGTGTAATCCTTACAAAGATGTCAGTCTCTTTGATAGTACCAACCCTTGTTTGAATACCCGGTTTGGTACCAAAACTTTGAGATTAAAGTATATCTAACCAAAACCGAACTTTAATTGGTTTAATAATATTTTGCAAAATTTTTGGGATAATTCTTTAAGGATAATGATGTTATTATTTCGTTTTATAGTGAGAAAATTACAAGTAATTCACAGCCTCATTGTAACTTTATCAAATCAGGAATTTTCAAATGTGTAAACGTTCTTGTAACCTAAGTAGTACTTCATTAATTTTTTTTCACTATTTAGTAGTCATTTTCATCATTAGTACGTTTAATTTTAACTCATTGAAATAAGAAATCGATTACAAACATCATGAAACTCTACTTAGATTAAGATATCAAAGTAAACATACCAGAAATGATACCGGATCTCAAACCCTAGTAGTGCATCAAAGAGACGACAGAGCTTGTCCCGACTAAAACAATACTCCAGAACGTTTTTGACAAGAAATTGTGGAGAACTAAGCAGCTGCAATGCTTGTTTGAAGCCGAGCTAAATTGCGCTTGAAATGTAAGCAAGGAAAATATTTTACTTTGCATAGCTTTGTAGATTCACTATGTGTAATCGAGGAACGTTTGAATGAAATGAACTAGCATTAAACTGTTATCTTTTTGGAAGTATTTTTAGGTTTTAAGTGGGTTCAGCATTTTTTATATTAAAGGAACTAATTGAATCTGCCTATTCCATCATACTTACTTATTCCTTTTTTACTACAAATATAAGTCTACTTTCATTGTGAGCGACTCCTTTTAATGTAGTTGGTACCTAAAGACTAAGTTTTAATGTTAGAATAGCGTGTTTAGTAAAACACTGAAAATAGAAAGCGAAAAGACTGTACTAAAAAGATGACTACTAAATTAGGTACCTACTTACATTATTCTAATCCGATTATTGTCATTGAGAAAATTGAAGTTAACAAGTCTCTGTTGAAAATGGATGAGTAAAGGTTATGCATAGATAAGTAGTTGTTTCCTTTTGCCTGGAACTCTATATTTTCACTAAGTAATATTAGTCTGTAATTTGAAAGATAGATTTACAGGAAATTCACAAAGGCTTTTAATGCTGACTGTATTATGTTTGCAGTTAATAACTTTGAAATTCCTACTGGACATTTTGTTTTAATCGTGAAATATAATCGTCCTCAACTACCACTTAGGTAATTAATCCAAAAGCGTCTCAGTCGAAATCTGGACTATCTAGTCGATCCATTTACACCCGAAACTCTAAGCTGAGTCTGACTCAATGAAAATAATAAGGCCCGGGGTAATTTTGCTAATGCAAGTGGTTACACCCTATCTAGATCGCACTTACTCGGCTCGTCCGAAGGTAGTAGAACTACCACTATTAAGAGGGTCGACACACGGTATATTGTCAGACCCTTGGCAAAATTGACTATTTTGACTAAGTGTTAAATTAAGGTACAAGATCTTATGGACAGGAATCTTCTCGTAAGTTGGTTATGTTTTGGACTAAAGCGATGCTGATGATGTTGGAACAAAGGTCAGGTGCTTCAGTTTAATGTACTTTAATGTTAATGTACGCTATAAGTTGTGTAACGACGAACGAGTAATTNGTGGGTATAAACTTAATACTTACGTTGTGTACCTATACATTAGCTTGGCATAATAGTGCCTCAAGAGAAAAATACCTTTGTGTGGCAATTCCATTTAGCGTTTACTAGCTACTAGATCTTAAGGAATAATGTTAAATGGCGTATAAGTGAAGTGTTGACTGCATAGAAGATTGCGAAATAATTTTGAACTTTATACCTTTAACTTTAGAGTAAACATTTACTGTGGATTATTGTAGAAGCTAAAATGTAGCAAACAAAAATGTTGTAAGTGCTCAAATGTAGTAAATAAAAAACAGTTTGGACGTTACTTCGTTTATATTGTTTCGCAGGCGATATCATACATTTATATAAGGCTGTTATATAAAAACTGACTGAGTTGTTACATTATACTCATTACATGAAAAAATTATATTCGGGTTTTCAAAATCTAGATGAATTGTATTTTTCAAAACCATCCCTTAAAATTACGTCGTAACTAAATATCTACTCAACGGGCATATTAATTAGTTTACAAATAATTGATCTTTAAATTCAACAATATTAAAACATTAACAATTTACAAAATACCCTAATTGTTTCAACATATTTTTAGAATGTACATAGATTTAATTTAATGTGAAACCAAAGAATGCGAGGAATTTCATTACATCGCAAAGATTAAAGAAACAGAATGTCAAGGATTTTATTATTATAAAACAAGCAAATTCGACGATATACCTATAACTACAATATATGTACATGTACACTTCAACGTTTCATAATTATTATTTTAATATACAACGCTACGACATACAGTAAACTTTCGCATTTGACTTATAAATATATTTATATTAAATGAGTAACGCTATTCAAGTTACATTTCTTTAGCATTATAAAAAATCTGTTGAATAAACAGAATATCTATTTCCGAATCAGTATTTAGACAATCTGTAAATGTGACTAACATAGTTTCAAATAAGAATTTTAAATTACAAAATACAGTACCAAAATTGTTATATTATTTACATTAACAGTTTTATTTTAATAAAAAATTCAACGTTATTGTGTAAATATTAAATTATACGTTGTTAACAAGAAATGCCAATAAATAAATCACTAGAAGTCCAGTTACACAGAATTTACCACACATAATGGATACAGTTTAATGTAATTATAAGCATTTACAATCAGAAGCTTGGTTCATTATTTATCTATGATACTCACAGTTACGTCAATTTCCACCAGGACATTAACTACGTTAGTTTGACCATCTAGTCGATACTATGTTCCAGTCAATCTCTCGATATAAATTACACCATCTAATTGCTGAACATACGCCTTGCGCAGNTTCCGCAACGTCAAATTATTAGCAATATTGAGATATACGTACGGACAATATTCACTCGGCGAGACGAGAAAATCATGTCTGAACTCGGAAGAACAATAATAAATATGTGATGTTACACGCTGCCACAATCTGAGTTAAACAGACAGCTCATTTTCTATCCGTTACAAGAAACATCGAAATAAAATTTTGTGGTTGATACTACTGACCTGAAAAAATACAACTTCTCTAAACAACATTTCATTGAATTCCCGAAAACTCAGTTAGTTTTCCATTGTAAAGTGTGATTCGTAATATTTAATCACATAAAAGTTAGCGACATTAGGTACCTACTTGTCAGGTGACGTCTTTGGTTTTTATTGTCTCGATCGGTTAAGATACAAGTTGTGAAACCTGTGTAATCTGAAAACAAGAAAGAAAAATGTTTTGGCTCTCCCGTCTTATGAAGCCAGTTATCGCGTTTCGGTAGAGTTTGGATGCTTCGAGCTGCCTGTTTTCCCCAAACTACGGCGTTACTAACTTCGCATGGTTTAAGGGCAAAGTTTACGCGGCGTAGACAACGGCCAATATTAAAAAGATTGTGTGGGGTACGTTGCGGGTCGAGCCCGCGGTAGGGGGCGCCCCACCGAAGAAGCCCGCGTCCTCACCTCGGGGCCCACCTTCCCTGAGCGGGCCCTGGAGACTGGAGCGCACGTCGTTTGTCTCCTCCAGGGAATTGCTGCGCTCATCTTCATCTCTAGATTTCCGATGCGGCAGCTCCATTTCTGTATTGAGAAACGTTAGCGTTAGCGGCGGGAAGTGAGCGCAATCAAGCGAAATTGATCCTAATTGCAGCTATCCTACGCAGTGCTAAAAAAGAAATTGTTGGCGCTTGCAACTTTGTGAATTCGATTCGTTTAAACACTGGGAGTTTGTAGCTGAAGCATTTAGCTCTCCTTTTAACACCCTATTAAATATAACTACTTTTTTTAAGTTAGACTGGATGAAATGTTTCGTGTACAGTTTTGTACGACACATTTTAAAATCATTTTTCTCAAACTCTATTGTAAATTAGTGATATTCTCGTAATTTTTATTTAACTTAAATGTAATATTTATTTATCTTTTTCCACAGGATAACTAGAAAGTAGATATTTAACATAGGTATCTTTATTCCGTGAGTTTGCACATTGCCTTAGGCGTCCCTGTAGAACCATTCGATATCCTTTTGTTCTCTCTGAGATTGTAGTGAATGCTGTTGAATAGACTATGTTTTCCACTTGGAAGCTCTTAGTAACATTCCACTTGGAACTTCTTTGTAACATGGTAGTATAGGGAGAAAATCAAAGAGAAAATCAGCATAACTGAACAAATTAGTTTAGGCTGCGGTCGCACTATGTAATGTAAAGGAGCTTTTTATTTATGCCCTTTACGATGCGGAGCTTTTTGCCTACTAGTCATAAAAAGTGTTGCAAATGTCTGTCATGTCATCTACACGAAAGAAGTATGTTTTCTTTTATCTAAATACGTCAAAAAGATGGTAGATTTTCCTAAACACATAACAGCAACATACGAGATCAAATTGGTAGTTATTAGTTTCTTCTTATACCAGATCTCCACCCTTCTACGAACACTCTACATAAATAGGCTCTACGACAGGCACTCACCGTACAATCTAATGTTGCCCTCAGCATCCCCTATGGAGTTCTTAGATATACACTTGTACCCGCCCAGGTCACTGCGCTGTATGTTGCGGACTATGAGTCGCATGTGCACGCTATACACCGAGCTGTAGATCTGACCGCTACTGATACACCCTTCTTCGAATAATTTACATTTTATAGGCTCTATGACAGGCACTCACCGTACAATCTAATGTTGCCCTCAGCATCCCCTATGGAGTTCTTAGATATACACTTGTACCCGCCCAGGTCGCTGCGCTGTATGTTGCGGACTATGAGTCGCATGTGCACGCTATACACCGAGCTGTAGATCTGACCGCTACTGATACACCCTTCTTCGAATAATTTACATTTTATAGNATATCATTGAAATGAGCTTTTTATTTATGCCCTTTACGATGCGGAGCTTTTTGCCTACTAGTCATAAAAAGTGGTGCAAATGTCTGTCATGTCATCTTCACGAAAGAAGTATGTTTTCTTTTATCTAAATACGTCAAAAAGATAGTAGATTTTCCTAAACACATAACAGCAACATACGAGTTCAAATTGGTAGTTATTAGTTTCTTATTATACCAGATCCCCAGTGATATTATATCCTTCTACGAATACTTAACATAATATAGGCTCTACGACAGGCACTCACCGTACCATCTAATGTTGCCCTCAGCATCCCCCTATGGAGTTCTTAGATATACACTTGTACCCGCCTAGGTCGCTGCGCTGTATGTTGCGGACTATGAGTCGCATCTGCACGCTATACACCGAGCTGTAGATCTGACCGCTACTGATACACCCTTCTTCGAATAATTTACATTTTATAGACTCTATGACAGGCACTTACCGTACAATCTAATGTTGCCCTCAGCATCCCCTATGGAGTTCTTAGATATACACTTGTACCCGCCCAGGTCACTGCGCTGTATGTTACGGACTATGAGTCGCATCTGGACGCTGTACGCTGAGCTGTTGATCTCGCTCATCTGGTACTTGTCGTTGGATATTATCATTTCACCTGTAAATAATTGAAGAGTTAATAAGTGGTAGTGAGAGAGTTTTATACGTGGAGGATTAAGAAGATTGCGTTAGCAGACTTGAGTCCCTTCCTCTGCCTTTTTATAAAATTACAAAAAATACATAGACGGAAAAATGCTGAACCAATGAAAATAATTCATATCATTATCATACCATTATTTACTTTTGTACATTGTGTATGCATGGCAGTGATGTAAAATTAAAAAGTAGAAGATAGACTTCGAGAAAGTGGCAATGATACAAAATCAAACAATCTGTGAGAACCTTTCCCTGAATATTCCAATATTTGAAAACACGACAAAAATAACATACTATTGAAAACCAGCACCCAGTTCACAGATGAATTGACTCGAATCGTTGTTACCTTTCACAATGTCAGTTAATACAGTTATTTGCTTGGGCACCCTTCCTCGATAGGCAGAAGCCTTTCCGACCATCCATATTCGCCCACTTCCGACCATTGTCCGCGCGATATCGAATTGAAATATGTTGTTTCGGTGTGTCGAATTCGCTTCCCGGACAATGCTATACATTTCACAGCTATACTTTTCAACAAGTACCAACATTAAACGCTACTACAACGGGCGGCGTTAAAATAATACGCCAGTTTCCGTCCCATGTCGCAATGTAAACAACAAAATGTTGATTTTGGAGCAAGTGCTGAAAATTGTTAGCGTCCAAATCAGTCAGAGCGAATCTGCTTTACAGATCTGTCCAAATTAGGACTGATTATGTTTACTCGTTTCGCCTAATAATGCTGCGGTTCTAATGATAAAAGTTTAACGGGAAAACGTTTTGAATGTCTAAAGAGTCGCCTGAATTTTCGTCGCCGGCTACATTATTACCACGGCCATGGGTCACGTTGCTCGTTCTACATTAAAAATTGCTTGCATTCTTCTTCCTCCGCTTATTTTGTGGCGGCAGTTTTATTTTTTATTTTCCAGCCACCATGGTGTATTCAGTTACAAAGATATTTAATTGAAATTTTTCATTTTTTTGGCAATAGGTATTTCATTATGGGATTCTTGTAACTTTTACCGCGGGCCGGAATTTTAGGAAGGGAGAGAGAGTTTGTGTCCTGCGGTTGGTTTTTGGGATATTGAATTTTATTGGTGTAGTAATAATAATCACAGCAGTAGATAATTGAGCACAAAATAAGAATCTTCTTTCGCTTAATATGATTGAATTATTTCGTTATGTAACATGTTTTTATTAAATAGATCCTACAAGAAGAAATATTTACATTATTTGGTTTCTATGTTATTATGTCAAGCCTTCGGTATTGGCTTTTTGATTTATCACTGTAGGTTCACACTCGTAAATCAACAATTTTATAGGTAAATGTTTAAAAATATTCTTGTCTCGGATCGGCAGACTACGGTAAATTGAACCAATAAATTGGAAAATTATTTTGCAAGGTTTTATTAAAGTCAACAAAAGCTGTTTGCGAGAAGTTTCCAACGGACACCTTCTACGAAATCCATAAGTACACACGAAGGCACATCGTTTTGAACATCGTGGCACTTTATGCAGTTGAAATAGGTTCTATTTTTTAACAAAAATGTATAGTCTCATGTGCTATCTGTACATAATATTTCTAGAGTAGTTGCTGTCGTGTTTGTTTTGCTTACAGTTAATGGAAGTACAGTTGAGTCGGAAAATATGTATTATGTTTAGGTTCGGTAGTGACTATTTTAAACAAACAAAAACAAACTGAAACTACTTTCTGTGGAAACAGTGCAATAATATATTTGTATTGCTTTCCTCAGAAAACGAGGTATGATTTAATATACTAGAGTCGGAAAAAGTAACTTGGGGAGAGTGTAGTTTTATTCAATAGAAATAGAAGAAGAGCAAGAACAGTTTTTTACAGAAAGTAAGAAGACTATTTATAAACATATTCCTTTAAAATATTTTTATTATTAACATTTTAGTTCTGCATTTTTTTCTGTCGACTGTAGCTTTACTAGCATCGCGGCTTTCAAACTGCAGATTTATTTAAGAACCTCCTCGTACTCCTTTAACCACTCTTAGATAATGTTTCTTCTCCATCAAAAGTTACTTTAAAGATACTCGTTCTTAAACTTAAAGATACACAAGCATAAACCGGTGTAGTAGTTTGTGTTTTTGTTGAAATGTATCAACTGCATAAGACGCCAAAACGTTTAGTTTAATGTGCCATTGATTATTGAATTGTATTGGTTCCATAAGTCATACGAAGTGTTTAAAAAATAGTAACTTGAAGACAATTTCGCAAATCCTTGTAGGTATCTAACCACAGAAACTTATTATAAGGCAATGTAGACCCCAAGTTTTTGTGTTTTAAAACTTTGCAGTAACTGAAGAACTGTCGACCTCAATCGACCTATTAATAATGGTCGACAGTTCTTTAGTCCATCACATTTAAGGCACTGCAATTGTTTGGCTGTTTTTCATTAATGTAAGAACAAGTAAGAAGCGCGCCTCGGCTAGCCAATGTCTTGCAAATCAATGGAAAGTTATTATAGTTAAATATTACCGAACTATTACTGTATTTGTCAGGACGTCTCCAGTCTATTTGTTATTCAAAGTTCATTAATAACCGCGGTCAGGCAAAGACAACGAGACCGGTCAAGAGCTCGACCTGCGCTCGACCACAAATCTGTGGCGCGCGCTGTAACTGACACCTCGATAGCCGCAGCCGCAGACACGCCCTCTTTTGTTTATTGCTCGACAACTTTATTAATTAATAATCAACCATTCGGAATTTGAATCGGATTCGTCCCTCAATATCGTCGATATGCGCGTAGGCAGAAACAATTGACAGTCGATTGACTCGAACGTATTGTATGTATTGTAATCGTAGACGCAGCACACCGTCTTTTGTTTACTGCTCGAAAACTTCATCAATGAAAATTGAACATTCGAAAATCAAAATCTTCGCAAATATGTCAGCTCAGCTAATGCAGCGCATAAACAAGAACAAATTGAAAATCAGTTGTCTGAGTATGTACCTATGTTACGAGATAAAATTTTAGGTAGCTTTGAAGCTGTAGTTTTGCAACATACTATCCGTTGGTCTTCCCTAAATATGTAATAAAATGTTTGAACTTCGAAAGGTCGTTGTTAATTTGACAATAATAACTTATTTGCATTTCTAATGAATGTTTTGATAGAGTCACTTAAAATTGTCGTGAACTTTTATTTTATATAACACCGTCAACTGATTTGTTACGAATGTAATTAGTTCCATAAACTATTTCAAGTCTAACTATGATACTCAATCAGAGTTCAGTTAATAGATCTATTTGCAGTGTTAAGTGACGTTAGACTTAAACAGTCCGATTTTGAGTTTATTCCCAATAACTTTATTAATTAATTGTCAATATCCCGACCAATTCCATCGAAGCGCCGCTGTGAAGTTGGCAGAAATACGGCTGTTCGATAGTTAGATTATAAACGCAGTTAGCGAAGTACTTGTTACTACGTAAAACATTAAAGTTTATTTAAGTTTTTTGACAGCTCGGCGTTCGGTGCAACTTGCCGTTTTTATTGGGCTCTAGTTATATTGCAATGCAAGTCGGCGAACTTAATTGCTGTTTGTTTATTGCAGCGAGATGTATTGAGAATACAAATTTTGTTGCTCTGTATCACAGATTAAAAAAGTAGCGTAACCTATTACGTTCGCTCTCGTATTTTTATAGCACTTACTTTATGCGTGATCCTAAGTACCTACTATAAATAAATAAATAAATATCCTTGGACATTTTACACTGCGCCGCTAGCCCCAAACTAAGCAAAGCTTGTACTATGGGTACTAGACAACGGATATAAACATACTTAAATACTTTTTTTTTGTGAATACATACATATTATACATAGAAAACACCCAGACCCGTCACAGAAATTAAAATTCATCATTTCAATTTCTGCTCGTCCGGGAATCGAACCCGGGACCTCTCGGCATAGTAGTCCGTTCTGAACCACTACACCAAACGGCCGACAATATTAAAATTATACAATTGCGAACAGTTTACACGGAAGATGCTTTGTATTCACGGCTTACGATCACTTAAAACNTTTTATAGGCTCTATGACAGGCACTCACCGTACAATCTAATGTTGCCCTCAGCGTCCCCTATGGAGTTCTTAGATATACACTTGTACCCGCCCAGGTCGCTGCGCTGTATGTTGCGGACTATGAGTCGCATCTGGACGCTGTACGTTGATCAGTAGATCTTTTGACCCCCCTGATACACACTTCTAAGAATACTCTACATATTATAGNCTTAAAACTGGAATTAAATTAAAATTAAAATGACAACAAAAAGTCATCGCTTGCGTACACGACGATCTGGCGCGAGCGGCGGTCCCACCCATTCCGTGTCGGCCACGGCCGGCTCGCTTGTCCCTCTCGTCAGGCTGTGTATAACCTAATTTAATTTGTACTTGCCGCAATTTATGGCCTGAAACCGTCTGCCCCCTCTATTTGTTACCACGCAGATGCGGCTCACGCGCCGCTCCACCATTGATTGAAGACTGCATCACCAACCGTCACCGTTATTGAATTCCTAAATTGAATTTTGATTCGCACTATCGTTGTAGGTACGAGAGTAAATATGGTGACTGTGGCCTAAAGCAATTTGGAGCGGGCGGGCCGGCGGTCTTTGTTGCATATCAGGCAGTAATAGAATTTGGTTCGCTTTTTGCGCGGTCGGTCGCTCCACCCGCGTAATGGCGAGCTCGGTTGCCTTTGTAACTGCATCTAAATCTGCCTGTACTATGTATCCGGCTGGTTATGCTACACCAATAATCCACTAGTGATGTCCTGTAAACACTGTTAGCGTCCCGAATATATTTCCATTATGAAACACTATGTGGCGCTATAGGAGACGGCTAAATTAATCAATTTAACTCTATGTTGACAATTCAACATAGAGTTTGGAATTTTTGAGAAAATATAAAAATATTGAAAAATTGTTAAACAATTGGATTTTCAAT